TTCTATGAACAGCTTGAGCAAGCATATGAACGCTGTCCCCATCATGACATCAAAATCGTTGTTGGAGACTTCAACGCAAAGGTGGGTAAAGAAGGTGTCCTTGGTGCCACTGTCGGAAAGTTCAGCCTTCACACGAAAACTTCTGATAATGGAAGAAGGCTGATTGATTTCGCCGCGGCTAGAAACATGGTGGTTAGTAGTACCAGATTCCAACATCTCAACATACATAAGACAACATGGCTGTCACCGAATTAAAACTCAAGATCTCAAATTGATCGCGTTGTGATAGACGGAAGGCATGCTTTCAGTGTCTTGGATGTACGTACTATCCGAGGAGCCATCATCGACTCGGATCATTACCTTGTTGCATCCAAGATCCGCACACGTTTATGTGCGATGAGAAAGGTACGTGAACAAGCAGAGCGAAAGCTAGACGTCGAAAAGCTGCAATCACAACAGACAGCTAATGACTTCGCTACTCGACTCTCCCAATATCTGGAAAATTCATCTGAAGAAGCCGATATATGCGCGCAATGGAACCACATCTCCAACTCTATGTGTATTGCTGCAGAAGAGGTGATCGGCTATCACCGTATACAAAGAAACAGCTGGTACGACCAAGGGTGTCGCAATGCTACCGCAGAGAAAGACGCAGCATATCAAGCCACCCTGCGGTCAGTTGCGACGCGTGCTGTTAAAGAGCGATATCGGCAAAAGAGAAGGGAAGAGAAACGTCTTTTCAGGCGAAAAAAGAAGGAAACAGAAAGACGTGAGTACGAAGAGCTTGAGAAGCTAGACGACAAAAATATGGCTCGAAAATTCGATCAAAAACTTAAAAGCCTGACAAATGGTTATAAACCCGGAGCTAATTCCTGCAAAGATGAAAACGGTGATCTGGTGATAGATGTCCAAAGCCTGCTTAATATTTGGAGGGATCACTTCTCGAAACTATTAAATGGCGGTAGTAGCAATGTGACTGAAAGCGAAGATGATCCCGAATTTTCAATCGTTGACGATGAAATAATCGTTCCGCCTCCCGATCATAATGAAGTTAAAACAGTTATAACGCGGCTCAAAAACAACAAAGCTGTAGGCGCCGATGGTTTACCGGCTGAGCTGTTTAAAGCTGTTGGCGAAGAGCTATCAAAATGCATGCTACAGCTAATTCGCAACATTTGGTCGGATGAATGCATGCCCAACGATTGGAATTTAAGTGTGCTTTGCTCAATCCACAAAAAAGGTGATCCTGCAAACTGCGCCAACTACCGCGGGATCAGTCTTTTAAATATCGCATATAAGGTTCTATCAAACGTACTATGTGAAAGATTGAAGCCAATCGTCAACCAACTGATTGCACCTTATCAGTGTGGCTTCAGACCTGGCAAATCCACTCTAGACCAAATACTCACAGTGCGTCAAATCCTGGAGAAGACTCAAGAAAAACAAATCGAAACACACCACCTATTTGTCGACTTCAAAGCTGCTTTTGACACTACGACTAGAAGCACACTCTATGCCGCTATGTCTGAATTTGGTATCCCAGCAAAACTTATACGGCTATGTAAAATGACGTTGAGCAACACCACAGCTCCGTTAGAATTGGAAAGAACCTCTCCGAGCCGTTTGATACCAAATGAGATTTCAGACAGGGTGACTCCTTGTCGTGTGACTACTTTAACCTAATGTTGGAAACGATAATTCGAGCAGCAGATTTAAACCGTACTGGCACAATATTCTAAAAAAGTGTAATGCTGCTTGCGTATTCCGACGATATTGATATCATTGGTCTGAACATCCGCGTCGTCAGTGCGGCATTTTCCAACTTAGAAAAACAAGCAAAGCAAATGGGTTTTGTGGTAAATTAGGACAAAATAAAGTACTTTCTGTCAACAAACAAATCTGCTGAGCGTCTTGGGACCTACGTCACTGTTGACAATTATAAGTTCGAAGTTGTGAAAGACTTCGTTTATTTAGGAACCAGCTTAAACACCAAAAATGACGTCAGGCTAGAGATTCAACGAAGAATTACTCTTGCCAACAAATATTACTTCGGGCTAAGTAAGCAATTGAGAAATAAAGCCCTCTCTCGACAAACAAAAATCACGCTCTACAAATCCCTTATCATGCCGGTCCTGCTGTATGGTGCAGAAGCTTGGACAATTACCAACAGTGATGAGAAGGCGTCAGGAGCATTCGAGAGAAAAATTCGGAAGATCTATGGTTCCTTACGCGTTGGCGACGAGTATCGATTAAAATGGAACGATGAGCTGTATGAGCTATACCGCGATATTAACATAGTTAAGCGCATAAAAATTCAGCGGCTACGCTGGCTTGGTCATGTCGTGCGAATGGAAGAAGTGCTCCGGCTAAAAAGGTATTTGATTCGGTACCCGCAAGTGGAAAACGCGGTAGAGGACGTCCGCATCTTGGGTGGAAGGACCAGGTGACCAACGATTTGGGGGCGCTCAGTACTACCAACTGGCGTCAGAAAGCAACTAATCGGGCTGACTGGCGGAGGCTACTCGACGCGGCCAAAGACGACACACGTCTGTAATGGCCAACTAAGGAAGGAAGGAAGGAAAAATCAATACATAACATTTCGTTCAATAATGTGTGTGACTGACACATAGATGGCGGCACTAATACTAAATAAATATTTTTTTTCGAAAGTGGCAACGTTTTTAGGCTTACTGTCAAAATCATATGTTAATACGACCATTTGTTTACAAGTTACAGTGCTTTAAGTGACGTTACTTTTGAGTTTTCAAAAAAAAATGAATTCAAAGCAATTCCGTGTGCTGATTTATCATTGTTTTCTAATGAAAAAAAATACTGTTCAATGCCAGGAATGGCTTGAAAAACATTATTCGGACTCTGCTCCATCAAAAAAAGCATTTGTTATTGGAATGCCGAATTCAAACGTGGTCGTACAGACACCGATGACATTCCATCTACTGGACGGCCAAATGACGCTGTTATTCCGGAAAACGTTGAAAAAACACTGAAAATCATTATGTCCGACCGTAAAGTGAAAGTGAGGGAGATTGCTGACATTCTACAGATATCAACAGGCGGTGTACACACCATAATACACGAACATGTAGGTATGAAAAAGGTGTTTTCCAAATGGGTGCCGCGTTTGCTCACACCGGAGCAGAAACAACAACGAATCGATGATTCAAAGAGCTGTTTGGACATGTTTACGCGCAATAAGTCGGAGTTTTTGCGTCGGTACATCACGATGGATGAAACATGGATCCACCATTTCACTCCAGAGTCAAATCGGTAGTCTGCTGAGTGGCATGCAGCCGGTAAAAGCCGCCCAAAGGGACCAAAGATGCAGCAGTTGGCTGGCAAGGTTATGGCATTTGTATTTTGGGATGCGCATGGAATAATATTCTTCGACTATCTCCAGAAGGGGAAGACCATCAGCAGAGAAAACAGTTTTGTTCCACCAAGACAATGCACCGTGTCACAAGTCGATGAAAACGATGGCAAAATTAAACGAGTTGAGCTACGAATTGCTGCCGCACCCACCGTATTCTCCAGATCTGGCCCCCAACGACTTTTGGCTCTTCGCAGACCTCAAAAGGACGCTCCGTGGTAAGAGATTTGGCTCAAATGATGAAGTAATCGCCAAAACTAACGAATATTTTGAAGGCAAAGAAAAATCGTTTTACAAAGGCGGTATCGAAAGATTGCAAAAGCGTTGGAATGATTGTATCTCCCTGAAAGGGGACTATGTTGATGAATAAAAACGAATTTTGGCAAAAAAATGTGTTTTAATTAGTTAGTCACACACATTATTGAAGGAAGTGTTATAATATAGTCTTCTCATTGAGAAATTATAACTGTTCACATATTTAATTATTATTGTAAAATATTATTATTTTTACTATTGTTATTATTGTACAATATTTGTAAAATTTGAACATACATGCTGATGTTAGCAATATCCAAAGTTTGATTTTCCTTTGCATTATTTAATTTGGTAAAATGCAGTGGCACTGAACTAGAATATTTGCATTATATTTTTTGTTAATTTGGTTGCATTATATATGCTGAGCTTGCACTTTAGGCAAGAAGACGGTAAAGGAAAAGAATAAAATTTAGATATTGTTTTTGTAATAATTTGTAATAATTTAGTATTTAAGCAAAAATTTAATTTAATAAAATTCAGATTGAAATCAATATTCGATCTCTCACTTTCATTTCCAGAGTTTCAGTTCAAGTGCTCAAAACTCAACTTTCAATTAAAGAGTTACAGTTTAAGTGCTGTCAATTCATTTCCTTAGGTGTTAATTCATTAACATTTATTTTGGTGACCCCGACGTGATTATCAGGTGAATCGCTTGATAATTCAACACGAATTTGACGTAAAGGTGTCCTACGATCACATCAACAGAGGCTTTGGTGTCAGCATCAAAAGAGGACAAAGAACACGAATTTGACGTAAAGGTGTCCTACGATCACATCAATACAGGCTTTGGTGTCAGCATCAACAGAGGACAAGTAAAACAATTTTAGTTTCACAAGGTGTGAAATTGGCTGTTAATCAACAAATCAACTAACTGGATAATGGGTTTCAGTTCGCTAGTGGATCGCCAAAAGGCATTGGGCGACAAAATCAAACAATTTATTGGTAATTGCAAAAAGACTGGAAAACCTCGCAGAACTTCTCAATTCTATACAGACAAGATTCAAAAATTCCAAAGGTTGGGTGATGAATATCATGAAAATCATCAGGAAATCATGGCTTCAGTGGACAAGGTTGACGACCATGAATACTTGGTGAACAAAGATTATCAGAGTATTCTTAAAATGATTGTCGATTACAACAAGGTTCTAGAAATTAAAGCAATAGAGCTAGAAAAATCATCTTCAGCAAGCAATTGCACAACAATTGAGCAAACAAACAGATAAATGATTGAAACATTCGGAAACTACTCCGAAATCAGAAGGCACTCATACGTGTAATTGAAAGACCGATAGAAGGAATCATGGTCAACAGACAAATTGAACAACCATCTACATACTATTCTATAGAGGCAGCCAGTCTTGAAGGATATATGGTCGATTTAGTGGCAAATAACACAACGTTATGGAAAGCTACCCACGAAAGCATCATTGAGGACTACATACTGGAAATGTTTTATGAACTCGAGGAAAAGGCAGGAGCTGCCATTATCGAACTACAACAACATTTGCATAATAATCAGACAATTCGCAACTCAAGACAGACAGATTGCGAATTGCCTCTACCAAGAATATCACTACCAAAATTTGATGGAAACTATATGCGGTGGGTCGAATTCAAGGACTTGTATATGGAATTGGTCCACAACACGGACATCAGTGACAGCAAAAAAATGCATTATCTGACTACATCATTGGATAACGAGCCAAAGGGGCTAATTAGACATCTTCCAGTAGTAGGAGAAAATTACAATATAGCCTGGACTTTACTTACAAGTCGTTATGAAAATAAACGACTTCTGGTTACAACACTCCTAAATAAATTAATGGGACAATCCTCCATTAAAAGGGAGTCGGCACCAGCATTAAAATCTCTACACGATGTAAGCAAGAAATGCATACATGGTCCCCAGGCTCAAGGAGTTCCAGTCGAACATTGGGATGTTATCCTGGTACATCTATTGCTGCGCAAGCTGGATGCAGAAACTCTAACAGCTTTCGAAGAAGGGCTAACAGACAACAAACGTTTAATAACCATTGATGAATTGCTAAAATTTTTGGAACATAGATTTCAATCACTTGAGGCTAGTGGAAAAGGAGATTCATCATTCACTCGAACGTGTGCTTCAGCTACAAAATTTGGTTTAAGTAAAACCTGTCCAATTTGCAATAAAGACGGTCACATGGTCTACGCTTGCAAAAAATTCGAGACAGCTAATCTATCACAACGATGGAATTGGGTTAAGGAGTTCAATTTGTGTGTGAACTGCCTCAGGATTGGACATCGAGCTGATGAGTGTAAATCCAGGCACTGCACTAAGTGTTCTAAAAAACATAACACTTTGATGCATAATCCAAAGGGGAATCAATACACAAAAGGTACTGTTCTTCAAGGAAATAACTCAACGCCTCAACAAACAGGTCAAGCTTCAGTTTCAAACCAATCATCAAATAAAATAACCCTTTTAACAAACAATACCAATAAGGAATCTAATTATGTCTTATTAGGGACGGCCAGAATAAGATTGCTGGCATCAAATGGAAGACAAATTGAATGCAGAGCAGTATTGGACTCTGGCTCTCAAATCAATCTCATAACAAACCGACTGTCAAAAAAATTGGGCTGCAAGCCTAGGCCAACGCTTATGAGTATGGAAGGCGTAGGAGCAAATGAATCAAAAATACGTCATCAAACAATAATCCGAGTACAATCAACGTTGAACGAATTTGTAGCAGAGATGGATGCACATATCATACCAAAAATCGTTTCAGATCAGTCAATGCAGTATTTGAATATCGAATCCTGGGATATTCCAAAGGAATTAACTCTCGCTGATCCAGATTTTAACAAACCTGGCCGAATAGATTGCCTGTTAGGAGCAGAGATCTTTTTCAAGTTACTTATTGAAGGTCAAATAAAACTAGCAGGTAGTCTTCCAACACTTCAGAATTCTATTTTTGGATGGGTTGTAGCTGGCAATGTTGAAACTTTAAATTCAAGCACGGCAACCTGTGGCATATGCACTACTAAGGAACTAGAAGAATCTATATTGAAATTCTGGGAATCAGAAGAAATTCCAGATTCAACTTCGGAACTCACAGAAGACGAATTGCGTTGTGAGTCACATTTTTTGCAACACACTTTTCGAGGAAGTGATGGCAGATTTGTTGTAAAACTCCCACTAAAGAATCATCCATCAGTGTTACCAGATACAAAAGGAATCGCTTACGAGAGGTTCAAGACAATCGAGCGCCGTTTCATTCAAAATCCTGATCTAAAGAATCAATATGTTTCATTTATGAGGGAATATGAAGCATTGGGACACATGACAAAATTCAGCGGTAGCGAAATAGTATCTCCCCAATATTTCATCCCTCACCACTGTGTGCTACGTCCAGACAGCTCAACATCAAAACTGCGAGTTGTATTTGACGCATCAGTACACAAATTATCAGGGCCATCACTAAATGACATAATGTTTAATGGTCCAAAAGTTCAAGACGAACTGTTTTCGATTTTGCTCAGATTTAGAATGCACAAATATGTTTTAAAAACTGATGTGGAAAAAATGTACCGTCAAATATGGGTTAACAAAGATGATCGAAATCTGCAACTCATAATGTGGCGAGAAAATCCCACAGAACCACTTAATTATTATCAGTTGAACACAGTTACTTATGGCACAAGAGCAGCACCATATTTAGCAACACGCTGTCTAACAAAATTGGCGGATGAATATCAAGGAAATTATTTATATGGCGCCACATCTTTAAAAAAGGATTTTTATGTTGACGACGGTCTAATAGGAGCTGATACCATCAACGAAGCGTTACTAATTCAACAACAATTAATAACAATTCTAGACAAGGCTGGAATGAAACTAAAAAAATGGTGTGCAAACAACCCAAAACTTTTACATGGAATCGCTACAGAAGATCAAGAAGTAAATCTCAATTTTGATTCCAAGGAAACCCAATTCACAAAGACGCTGGGTCTTTTATGGTTACCAAAGTCAGATTCATTTCGTATCAAGGTTAACAGTCGAGACCATAGTCACACAACAAAACGATCTATGAGCTCCGATTTGGCACACATATATGACCCTTTGGGTCTTATTGGTCCAATCTTGGTCACCGGTAAAATCTTGTTGCAAGGAGCATGGCAGCTAAAACTCGATTGGGATGATGATCTTCCGTCAGAAATACGTAAACAATGGACATCGTATAGAGAAGATCTGGCCTTGTTGGACAATGCAACAGTTGTGAGGCACGTATTCAGCAGTCAAGGCTACAGCCATGTTGAGCTGCACGCTTTTTGTGACGCCTCAGAAAAGGCTTATGGTGCAGCAGTATACATTAGAACAGTACAAAAGGATAAAACGATAAAACTTAATCTACTATGCTCCAGATCTCGTGTAGCACCCATAAAATCTCAAACAATTCCACGACTAGAATTGTGTGCAGCGTTGCTAGCAGCAGAACTCATGGCAAGAGTTAAACTTGATCTAGGCTATCAAGACAAGGCAACTTACTTTTGGACAGATTCACAAATTGTGCTTTCCTGGATAAACA